CCTGCCAGGCTGAACATAGGAGCCTGGAACTTCTGGGTGTCGCATGTACGTGGCCGGGATCCAAGCACTTGAGTCAACTCTCACTGATCTTCCAGATGCAGCAACAGGAAGCTAGATGTGAAGTGGAGCAGTTGGGACTCGAACCAGCACTCATAAAGGATGCTCGTGTTGCAGGTGGGAGCTTAACCTTCTGTGCCACAACTCTGCTCCCTTCCCTCATGCAGCACATTTTTGCTGAGTCACCCCAACATGTACCAAGCATTGCTGTCTGTGAGAGGAGGCAGCCGCAGGCAAAGCATAGGGCAGGAGACACGAGCTGCTAAACAAACAGGGTCATGATCATTTCAGGGGGGCAGGAAAATAGCACGAAGAGAACACAACAGGGGGTCACCAGAGGAAAAGATGGGCTGGTGAGGGTAGCCGCCTGCAGCAGACGTGTGAGCTGGGAGGCGGGGAGTTGGCCCCTTACAGGGTCTTCACAATGGCGTCATGGACAGCTGGGGTCTCGGGGGTGTGTCGTGATCTCTCACACGCTCAGCCCCACCTTGGGCTTCCACCCAGGGGATGCCAGCAGTGCTACCCTCTCCATGGGGTCTTTAGAGAAATGTCTCCAGACATTGCCAGGCACTGCTCTAGAGAGGGAAATCGCTCCTTTTTGAGAGCTGCCTGAGAGCTGGGCCACAAGACCTGCAGAGCAGGCAGCATGAGTGCAAAGAAGAGTGGCTTGTGGGAAAATGGTTCAGGGCATTTGAGCAGCTGTGGTATAGCGAGGGAATGCAAAGGCATCAAGGCAATGGGTTCTTTCTAACTCTCCAGAATGTACTCAATGGCACTTAGGGAGTTTCTTCTGTATGCCAGGCATTGTACCAGCTCTGCCCACGGGCACAGCACGTACTCTAAGGTGATAACAACCAAGAGGGCCAGATAAGACCCTTGGGCCTGGGACGACAGCTGTCAGCTTGGGGTAACAGAATGTTCCAGACACCGGGCAATTAGCGAGGCACTTCAGACACAGTCACTATGGGGTGGAAGGTCCTGGAGGAGGCGATGTGTAGGCTGCTTCTTGAATAGGAGCTAGTCAGTAGCTGAGGCCTTCCCCTCCCAGTGTCCTGCCCTCCAATCCCCATTAGCTAACGTATGCCCCTGGGCCCCACTGCATATGGCTTGAGTAGAAGCCATGATGATGCCCCCTAGCCTTGCTCGGGGGCTGGCATGGGACCCAAACTTGGCAATCAGATTCTTTCTTCCTGGAATTAGAATACTGGGCAGAGAATCACAAGGGCACTGATGGCTTGAGTCCATTTTTTTTTTCTAATGGAAATGGTTGCAAAGCATGTCCTTTCATCCTGGCATCATTTTTCACCATCTCGATTGTTCCCTCAGACACACCCGAGGCTCAGTTTTCCGGCTTTTCCTTCTAACACCCTTTGACTAGACAGCTATTTAAGTCAGTAGAGTGGGCTTCTGACACTTGAAACTGCAATGAAAATAGCTGCAGTGCTGTGTGGAGAGGGACGGGGAGAGTGTGAAGTTCTGACTCACTATACACTCAACCGACTCAACTACTGTGTGTTGAATAAGCCCGGCGTCCCACTCTCCTAGGTGTAACCAAGGTTCTCCTTCAAGGCCAGGATTGTGTCTTTTCCTCTTCATATCTGCAGGGATTAGCTCTCAGCAGCCGTCTCTTTTCCTGATCTCCTTGTGACATATACCCCCAGCAGATACCCCAATGTCTTGGTGCTCTAGTCCCTTCTGTAAAATAGCATAGTCTTAGCACACAACACGTGCGCCTCCTCTCATAGAATTGAAAGACCTGTAGGTTTCTTGGTACATTCATACAACCTAAACGCTCCTCGAGGAGTTACTTTTTCCTGTTATTCAGAATATAATGACGAGAACAAAAGCCTACACATTTTCAGTCTGGGCACCATCTTAGTTTTCCAACCTCTGCTTCATTTCCCAAATAGCTGCATGGCCAGGGCTGAGCTTATCCAAAGCAAGGACCTAGGAACTTCTTCTGGATCTCCCAACAAGTGTGAGGGCCCCAAGAGTTTGGGGCATCCTCCACTGCCTTCCCAGGCCATAAGCAGGAAGCTAGATTGAAAGTAGAGCAACAGGGACATGAACTGGTGGTCATAGAGGATGCTGGCACCACCAAAAAGAGGATTAGGCTGTTAATCCACCACACCATCTCATTTTGGAATTCTTTTCCATTTGGAGACTGATTGGATCTATGAATGTAGAACCTGAGGAGAGAGAGGGTCTCCTGTACATATTTCTTCATGGAATAATTTGTGTGTTGTCACCCTTTCACAACATGTTGGGAGCTCTGGCAAGACAAAAATATGTGAAGCCTAATGCAGTACAACTACATCACTTTTCCCTGGACTAGTAGATTTCTGGGGTCTTTCTCTAGAAAGACGTCAAGCACAATTTGTCCTGAATATTCAAGAAATGTATTAGAGTGTCTGGCGGTAGGTTAAGTTAAGTGAGTTAAGCTGTTCTCTTGCAGTGCCAGCCAGCTTCCTGCAGGAGTGCTGGTTTGAACCCTGGATGCTCCACTTCTGATCCAGCTCTCTGCTAATGTTGTTGGGAAGACAGTGGAAGACGGTTCATGTGCTTAGGTCCCATGGGAGACCTGGATGATGCTCCGGCGCCCGGTGTCAGCCTGGCCTAGCCTTGGCTGTGGCAGTCGCCTGGGGAGTGAACCAACAGATTTAAGATCTCTGTCTCTCCTCCTCTCTTTGTAACTCTACCTTTCAGATAAATAAATAAGTCTTAAATCAAAAGAAAACAAATGTGTGTTGTAATAAACTCTTAAACAGTAGAGGCCACCCAGCATGGGGCACATTCTTTCATTTTGAAAGACTTTCTTTTTGCCTGCTGTGTGCCAGCTAACCAGCAGGGAAGAAACACATGATTTAAGACAGGAACTTTCAGCAGCCAGACCAGTCATAAGATGGTGAACTCTATCTAGACTGCAGGAGTACGTTTTGCCGCAGAGTAAGAAATCTGGTGTAACATCCAGCTAAGCCAAGTACCTGCCAGCTTCAGAGTAGGGAGGGGACCTGACAACAGGGATTGCTTAGGGACCCTGCCTTGGTGACTCCTCCCACACTTTCTGATAAACATTTGCAATCTGCAGATGCTATAAAAGAGAGGCTGGAACCCCCAAGTTATTGGACTGTTTCCCTCGGAAACTGTATGCTGAGCAGGGAGAGGGGGCTAGCAACTTCCTTTTTCATCTTAAGCACAAGCCATCTGCTTGATTTCTCAAGCAGAATATCCACCCCCAGGAAACGTGGATGTATTTATGGGTACGTGATGAATCCCACATCTTTGTTCCTCCTGGAGCTCCAGTGACCCAAACCCTCCCATGGAGCTGTTCTCCTGAAGGGTTTCAACTCTGCCATCTGTTGCATGAAGACACACCTATGTGCAACTGTAATAGACTGTGGTTACATCTTTCTGAAATTCTTATATTGAAACCCATCACACAGAAATGATAGCATTGGGAGGTGGAGCCTTTGCAAAGCGTGTTAGTCAACTTTTTGCCACAACGATACAGTGCCTGAGATAAGCTTCTTAGGAGCGACAAGAGTCCTAACCCAGCTCAGGGCTTGGAAGGTTCACAGTGGCAGATCAGCTGGCCCTGTTGGTTTTACATCTGGAAGACAACAGTGCTCTTGATGGCAGGGTCCTGAATTGGGACCAACATCACACAGCAAGAGACAACACACGTCTTTCTCTATTTATGTGGTCTCTTATAAAGAGGGCATGATTTCATTATGAGGGCTCCACCCAATGACCCAGTGCCACCCGATCACCTGCCAAAGACCCAACTCTATGCACCTGAGTTGGATTACGCTTGCACCTTCTTCACACCATGAACTTACAATCAGGGTTTAAAGTTCACAGCAACTTTGAGAACCAAATCGTGTTCAACTCACGGGGGGTGGGAGGGGTGATGTTCTCATGAGTGGGGCTCCTGTTGCCTTGAGAGAGGCCCTGGAGGCTCATGCAGCCTTTCTACTACAAGAAGACATAGCAAGAAGGGGTCATCTGCAAACCCGAACATGAACTCTCGCTGGACACTGAACTGCGGCCACTTTGACCTTGGGCTCCCAGCTTCCAGAATCATGAGATATAGTGTCCTTTGTTTAGAAGTCGATGGGATTCCATTCTAGCAGCCCACATAGACAACTTTTGAGTGGAGCCTCACAGGCTTTGAGGGCTTGGAAATCCTTGGAAACCATTTCTCTAATTCCTATCAGTTATCTTAAAACAGAGAACCTTCTTCCCAAACGACAAACTAGGTGAGAAGCAGAACATGGACTGTCCTCTCCTTAGTTCTATTGAATAAGAACCAGAGTCATTAGGAAAAAAAAAAAAAAAGAGGGAGAGGAAGGGGATTCTAGGCCCAGATAGGTAGCAGAAGTTTCTAGAAAGTGAAAAAAAAAAAAGGCAAAGAAATCAAAACACCAAATCACGGGGGTAGGAGAATATGTTCTCTTAAACATTCCCCTCCAATTCTTCTCATTGCAATCAAGAAGAACATCTCCCTTTGGTACTAACACATCTTCAACATTTCTCCAACTTCATTGTACTTATTGATGGAGCTAGTTACTTAGTTAAATTTGGGAAGGGATGAGAAGAGAGAGAGAGAAAGAGAGAGAAAGAGAGAGAAGTATCTTCTTTATACTGGTTCATTCTCCAGATGGTTGTAATGGCCAGGGCAGGGCTGTGTCAAGTGAAGAACCAGGAACTCAATTCAGGTTTCCCACATGGGTAGCAGGAACTGAAGCACTTGAGACACTGCGTTCTGCCTGGTAAGGTTTGCCTTAGCAGGAGGCTGGAACTAGCAGCCAAGCTGGGCGTAGGAGCTCAGGTATTTATATGTGGGACAGAGGCATCCTAGTTGGTATCTTAACTGCTGCCTAGGTCAAATGCCCAGCCCCACCTCTTCTTGAAATGGAAATGAGATAGACCTCAAACTCAGAGTCTTCCATGGCAACCCTACTCTTCTAGAATTCAGTAATATTCTTTTATTTTCACGGTATTTCTTTTTATGGATAGCTTCTATTTGTGGCAGATGGTATTGGCTTTCCAATTGCGGCAGCAAGCATCCCTTTAGAAAAAAAAATATATTTTAAGTTTTCAGTGTGAGATGAACTAAAAAAAAATAATGAGGAATAGAACAGACCACATGGTCAGCAGTTCTGGCAAAATTATGGATGGCTCCCAAATAATTGAAGTTTGAAAACAGGGTATAGGTCATAGAGACAGTGACCTCAGAGAGCCACTCACCAGAACAGGCTCCATTCATGTCATTAAGCAAATGTCAAGGCTGAAATGGAAACAGCGGCTCCCAAAATGAATTAGCGACAGACATGGAAAATGCCAGGAAATGCTTCAGGTGACCTTGAACAGACAGAAACCTCCTGAGATGAGAGAGAGAAAACAGATGTGTTGTTGAACTTGGCCAGGGATCCTCCTGACGGGTTAGATGTCTCCTCTCTAAACAAGACAGTATGCCGTGCATTTCTGTAAGTTGTGTGTGTGTGTGTGCAGTCAGTGCAGGACTGTAGAATTCATGACAGCAGTGGGGCTAGGAGGGCAGTCAGGGCATTGGGAACTTGTCACTTAACTCTTCTAGCAGCCCTATTATGTTAATGCGAGTAATATCGAGCATTTAAGAAGCGTAAGCCGTGTGCTAAGACCCCTTCAAAGCGCTCATGCAATCATCCCTAAGAGATGGGAATTACTATTCTTCTTTCGCAGATTAAGAAAACTAAGGCAGAAAGATTAAATAGGTCGCAGCTGGTAGAATGACAGGGACAGATTCCAGCTCGGATATTGAGTACTTCTCTGTCGCACTACGAACGGAGCAGTGAGCCAGTCCTTACCCCATAGCGGGACCCACAGCTACTCAATCGTGAGGTCAGCTAAGCCACTTTCCAGGAGTGGCATTTGCCTGAAAGCAAGTTGTTGCATTAATTGGGCAACTAGTTACGGGGCAGGTACCATGCGGGCAAGGCCCTTTTTGCATGAATCATCCGCAGTGGCACCTTAGGCCTGTCCTTGTCGTCCCTCCAGACGGAAAGTCACAATGAGTTCTAGGAATTTTGGAGTTCCCATGAGGTCCTCTGGCCATCTATCCAGCATGAATCCGGGCCTGCGGTGAGATCAGAAAACTCAGATCATATCTGTAGAACTATAACCCTGATCTAACGTTGGCATTTTCTGGCCAAGTCTTTTAGCACCTGCCCACCTCAATTTACCCACACACAAAATGAAACTAGTAAGAATGATTCAACTTGCAGAGTCATTGTGAAAATCAGATGAGAGTGTATAGGGAAAAGACATTTAGAACCAGAACTAAGTGTAAATGGTGATTATTTGTTAATATTGTACTCTTGTGAAAAAAAATTTTAACATGAATTATCATTTGTTAATTTCTGGTGACAGGGCCCGGCAGTAGCCTAGCAGCTAAAGTCCTCTCCTTGAATGTGCCAGGATCCCATATGGGCGCCGGTTCTAATCCCAGCAGCTCCATTTCCCGTCCAGCTCCCTGCTTGTAGCCTGGGAAAGCAGTCGAGGACGGCCCAATGCTTTGGGACCCTGCACCCATGTGGGAGACCCGGAGGAAGCTCCTGGCTTCGGATCGGCACAGCACGGGCCATTGCCCAAGTGAAGTCAATCAACAGATGGAAGATCTTCCTCTCTGTCTCTCCTCCTCTCTGTATATCTGACTTTGTAATAAAAAATAAATAAATAAATCTTTAAAAAAAATCCTGGTGACAAAAGTTTGGGGATTATAGAGTAGCTCACAGAAACAAGAATGGCTCTGCAACAAATTGCTAATCTCTGCTAACCCCTGTGAGTGTATTTCCTTCTGGATATGTCGATCTAAATGTAAATATAATCATTGTCTCATTTAATCTTCAGTGGCCAGTGGCTTCTTACAGTGTGCTGTGCTCTGGATGAGATCTGTGTACTGGAAGCTTGTCCTCAATGTGATGGTGAGAGGCGGGTGGCATTATTAAGAGAAGAGGCCTAGCGCTAGGGTCCCTCTTCTTGCTTCAGCTTCTCTTCATGTTGTCTTTGATTCATTCTGCTGAGACCAAACTCCTGTCTGTACATACCTAAGGTAGGCGAGACCCAGCCCCCATCACTCTCCCTTAGCCCGGGAGTCCTTGCTTATCCTTTAGGATTCATCACTCATCAAAAGGAATTCACTGAACTGAGAGAATGCGAGAGCCAGCCCTAGGGTGTTCCCACTCAAGGAGTCATTGGCTTCTCCAATAGACAAATTCCAGGTTTGGAGCGGAGCGTAAGCACCTTGTGCATGTAATCCCTAGACCAACTGAAGCCCACTTGGCCGTTATATTTGATTCCCTAATGAGCTCAGCATCACTGGCCAATCAAAGGGCGGTCAGTGACTCTGCTGAGTAACCAGGTACCTGGACATGAGCTGAACAAGCACTACTCAGCTTCTATTTTAATCCGTAAGAACTTTAACCCCCAACTCCTCAGGGAACTCGGGAATGGAGCAGTAGCTGCCCAGGAGTTGTGTTGCCAGGACAGCTCCTCTGCTGTACCCTTTGTACTGTACTCTACAAAAATACCTGAGTTCTTCCACCACCCTGAGGTTGCACAGCAGGCGAGCGTGCTCAGGTTTGTGGGTCTATAGCAACTCCTCCAGTTAGTTTGGGGGTTCGTTCCGCAACAGTTGCACTGCTGTGATGCGATTTTACCATGAGGCCCTCCCCAGGACTGGGATGAGGTCAGTGTCATTCCTTAACCCTCCAGAACTGTGAGTTAAATAGCCCTCCTTTCCTTGTAAAGTGCCCAACCTCGGGTGTGCTATAAAAGTAGGAGAAAACAGAAAAATGAGAGTATGACTTGGAACAAAATGCAAAATCTCACCCATATAGGAGACTCAGAAGAAACTCTTGAGTCCTGGCTTCGAATTAGCTTAACTCCGGTCGTTGTGGCTGACCAGGGAGAAAAACAGTAGATAAAATGTTTCTGTCTATAAAATCTGCCTTTCAAATAAAAATAAATCTTTTTTTTTTTTAAAAAAACACACACACAATAAAACATGGTTTCATTTAAGCTCTCAACTGTCTCCATGAGACTAGGATGATCCTTACAGAAGAGGACCCAGGGAACTGCCCCAGGGCAGACAAGAAGGAGGCCAGAAAAGAGGGAAAGCCAGAATTTACTTAGTTTGCTAAGGTAGTTAAGAGCCACCATTTCACCAGCAGGTCTACCAGCATCTGCATGTACATTCAGTTGGCGCTTGAAAGGCACTGGACTGCAACCTTGCAGTGACCTGTGAAAGACAGACACTCTCCCACATACTTCAAAGCGAGCTGTTTCTATTTCCGGTGCCCCGCTGAGATCTCCAGGGAGAGTTCTCCCCACCCCCTTCCTTGGGCGTCACCAAGTTCTTGTTTTTCTCTGGACCCTGTGACTCAGCATGCGCCTCCAGATGGCTTCCGGCATTTCCAGTCGGCTTGGCCAAGGCGCTGCCTCTCCAGGACATGACACTAACTGAAAACAAGTCACAGGAAGAGACCAACCCTCCCGCCCCGCCCTTGACCACGGAGACCTCATAGTCCGCCCATGTGGAATTGGTGACTCCGAGCCCCTCCTCCCTCCTGTCCCCATGACCTTCACCCGTGACCCAAGATGTGAGCCTGGCAGCCACTCGTCTCTCCAAACCCAAGTGAAGAGGACAGAAGGCCGGACCTCAGTGTCCCAAAGGGGAGGCTAACGTTGCCTACCTCTGATTTAAATACAGAATGCCCCGGTTCAATTTAGATTTCCAATTGGCAGTGGTTTTATTTTAGCGTGTCTCCTAAATCCCGTGTTCAGACTTTACTGGCTCTCTTGTAACTTGACTGTGGCAATCCTATGGGGGGAGTATGGAGAGAGACAATGAAAGTAGATGTTCTTTGTTCCTTCTTAGGGGCTGTGCACTGATACTGGGGTTGCCATGAGATATCTGCACACATACCTACCTGAGTAGAACAGGTCATCTCACAGTCACGTGATGGACAGGCATGATCATCTCGGGCTGTGAATCAGAATAATCGGATGAGTTCGTCAGGTGTGACCCATCCCTGCTTCTATCTTCAATCCACCCCCCACCCAAATGCTTGCACGGCAAACATTGGGGTGACAGATACCCCCAAACGATGCCTATTGCCGTTGGCCTGGCACATGTCTGGGTCAAGTCTCCTTTATGACTTGCTGTTTAATGAAGTGTCTGTCTTAGACGTGAATCATGGCATGCCCGATATATGTACACGACACGTCATGCTAACATGTTCGCCGAGCCCTGCCTGACAGCGGAACAAAAGGACACAGCCAGGAAACTATATATAGGCTGTTTGTTTGCTTTGGACTTGGTGTGTCTGTGCCTACGAGGAATCTTAATTCTGAGAGGTGGAGTTTTTAAGTTCCCCATGACTTAGAACAGTGACTGGCCTAGAAGGGTGGAATATCTGATGAATTGCAATCAGTTTCACCAGCTGCATTCAAGAAGATGAAGGCATCCTGAGCCCTTGGGAGAGGAATGTTTTGAGAGATAATTTGCTTCCATTTCTTGCTGGGGAGGAACCACAGGCCCGTTCTTGATAGAATAACTTACAGCACCTCCCAACAGGAACCCCCTCAAGTGACCAGGACCCCCAAATCTGCCTTTTCATAGAGATTTGCCCTCTTGCTTTAGGATTTTTAATGGAGTTACCACTGGTTCCTGTGACAATCCGTCTTCTGTTGCTATAACGAGACACAAGGACACTTCAGATCATTTGTGGTAAACAGAATCAAAAGAGATTTCCCTGCACTGCCGCAGCCTCCCTGTTTGCCCTCATTGCTGCTCAGGGCCACTGCTTCTCTGTTCCTATCACCCGTGCTGGTCCATGCTTTCCATCTCTCACAAGACTGTTTCTGTGGCTCTTTCTAGCTTCTCTGCATTCATGCTTCCTCCACGAACCCTTCCTCCCCATTGCTCCAGAGAAAGCCTGTTGTAGATTCAGTGTCAGCTGCAGTTCGTTGTCCCATAGTCCTCATTTTATGAAGTGTAGGAAACCCCATGCTTTCCCTCAAATGTCTCTGCATGTCTTGGTGGGAGATGAGGGCAGAAGGAAGCTGTTCCCTTCCTGTCATTTTTGGATGTGGCTACCTACCAATGCTGGGTTAGTTCAGCCTTGGACTTGACACAGCACAGATGCACCTGCACTGGGTGTCATCTGAACATACACACATCGCTACAGAATTGGCTTTCACCTCTTTTGCTATTTCCTACCCCAAGAAGGCTCACAATCAACAACAGCAATAGCAAAAGTCATTTCTTTGTGAGCCTCAGACTTTGCCAAATTTTACAGGATGGAGAAATATGCATGTCAGGAAGGCATCAACTTCAGAGTTCTCAGTGATGTGCTAATTAGTATGAAGCATGGTGGTATAGCAGGCTAAGACTCCTATGTGGGAACCAGTTCAAGTCTTGGCTGCTCTATTCTCTGCTAATGTACCTGGGGAAAGCAGTAGAAGATGGTTCAAGTCCTTTGGCCCCTGTACCCATGTGGGAAACCTGGAAGAAGCTCCTGGTTCTTGGTTTTGGACAGGCTCAGCTCTGGCCATTTGGGAAGTGAACCAGTGGATGAAAAATCATTATCTGTCTCTCCTTCTCTCACTTTAATTCTATCTTTCAAATAAAAAAAAATCTTTAAAAAACAAAATTGTGTGCAGTGCGATACGGTAGCCTAGCAGCTAAAGTCCTCACCTTGCACGCGCTGGGAGCCCATATGGTCACTGGTTCTAATCCCAGCAGCCCCACTTCCCATCCAGCTCCCTGCTTGTGGTCTGGGAAAACAATCGAGGATGGCTCAAAGCTTTGGGACCCTGTACCCACCTGGGAGACCTGGAAGAAGCTCCTGGCTCTTGGCTTTGGATCGGCACAGCATCAGCCATGCAGCCACTTGGGGAGTGAGTCAATGGATGGAAGATCTTCCTCTCTGTCTCTCTTCCTCTTCTTCCTCTCTGTATATCTGACTTTCCAATAAAAATAAAATAAATCTTTAAAAATAGAATAAAACCAATCAGAGATGCATTGATGAGTTTTCTTCAACCCAAACACCAGCTATTACGCTGAGGAGGTGGGGCAGGAAGGGCAGGGAGCCTTGGTTTGAATATAACCACGTGGTTGTGGCGTAGCACTGGATGGCTTCCATGCACCTTGCCGACTTCCTCTTGTAAGATATAAATACACTCCTGCCGTCAGGCTGTGTGAGGCAGGTTTTCTGTGCCTTGCAGCTGAACACAGTGCTGACTCATGCCGACTCACAGGGAGCTGCTCCCTCCCCCCACTGTCCCCTCCACGCCCCTGCTCTTTCTCTTTTCTGTCCAGCACACCATCACTAGTGCAAGGCGTTGTCCCTCAATTGCTCGGAGGCTGTCCTCTGCCCTTGCACTAGAATGTAGGCACTGCATGAGGACGCTGATAGTCTTATGGCATCTTGAGGGCCTAACACAACAGCTGGCTACCAATATTTATCAAATAAATGAATGACTGTGGGACCTGTGCCAGGGCGTACCTGGCTAAGCCTCAGCCTGCAGCACCAGCATTCCCATGTGGATGCCAGTTGGAGTACCGGCAGCTCCATTTCCTATCCAACTTCCTGCTAATGGCCTGGGAAAGCAGCAGAGGATGGCCCAAGGTCCTGGGACCCTGCACCCGTGTGGGAGATCTGGAAGAAAAACTTGGCTCCTGGCTTTCACCTGGCCATGTGGAGAGTGGATGAAAGAGCTCGTTCTCTCTCTCTTCCTCTTCTTCTCTTTCTGTAACTCTGCCTTTCAAATGAAATTCATCCTAACTCTCCTCTGTTGAAGGAGAAAACCCAGATGATGCTGCTGGGCAGTCAAAGCCATGGTCCTGCTCTTGAGCCTGCCCAGCCCTTCTCTTGCTTTCGCCCTACCGTCTGTGTGAGCCTCTGTACAGACTGCTTTCCCATGTGCGTCACTGAGCCCCTGCTCATGCCAGGCACTGTTTTTTGTTTGTTTGTTTGCCACCCTGTCTTCAGCTAGCAAACTCCTGTGCATGTGGTAAGGCCCAGCTTTAACGTCACCTCCTCTAGGAAGCCTTTGGCAAGCACAGGAACTGACGCTCCCATCGCTCCTACAACCCCTGAACCCTGTGTTGCTGTAGAACTCGGCCTACTTCTTTTGTTTTGTCTCTGTGAGTTCCTTGAACCAGCCTGAGCGCTTGTCTGAGAGATGTCTGTGGCCCCTGAGGCCGGATGCAGGGTCTGACAGGCAAGGGTCTTTGAAATTCTGATGTGGACCTGTGTCTTCCCCAGCCTCCCTTGCTCAGGCTTCAGGCACCAGCTCTCCCTTTCACGTTTAGCTCCCCAGGTGTTTCTCCGTATTGCTCTAGATAAACCTTTCCTCCCCAAAGGGCAGTCCTAGGGCAAGGAAGTACCAGCTTCTTTCTGAGCGGACTAGCAAAGCTCAGATAAAAGGCCAGTAAAAGTGATGCAAACCTGTTAGCAGTGGCTTTCCTGTTCTCTTTCTCTGTTATTCCTCAAGCTAGTTTCTGTCTCCTTTCTCCCCCTTTCCAGCCTTGTATCATTTTTCCAGAAGTTTCCACATGTCCATGCCTCTGTGGCTCTGCCAGGGATGCTGCCCATTCCCCTCCAGCTCTGTGTTAGAAGTTGTGCACCTCTTGAAGCCCAATCCCTGTCTTAGAGCCCCAACATACAATGTATGACTTCCCCCAAGCTCTGTCACCACCTCCCAGGGGAATGAATTCCTCCCTCAGCTCTCTGCTGTCTGTGGCCTGTGCCCGACCCCTCAGCACTTTGGTGTTCTGTCTGTGGGCCACTCTCTCTCAGGCATCTGCTGTCTTGTCTGTCTTGATTCATCCAGAGCTTGGTCCAGACCTTGGCATATTTGCAAAACCAAATGCATGACTGTCACTGGGATGGCAGGATGGCAGCACCTCCGCTTGCCTCCGGGGACTCATCTTGCTCCATTGCCACCCATCTGGTTGGAGTATGGCTGTCCAAGAGGCAGGAATGAACCTATGAACTAAGGCAGTCTCATCAGACAGCGCATGCTCTGATAGGAGAGCCCACTCCATGGTGGACATCTGAGCCAAGCCTGGCCCAGTGAGATCTTGGTGACCCGATCAAGTATGTGAACTGGGGAGAAAGAAGCTGAGGACAGGAGAAAAATGCTGAACCAAAGTTCACGCGGCCAGAAAGTGTGTCGGTGTCAGAATGTTTGAAGGAATATGATTATACTTGTGGGTCCAAAGGGCTTCAGAAATCTCTCATCGTGGGAGAAAAATGGGCACTATGGGCGGCAGTTCCTTAGGGTTAAATATAGCAGCATGCAGTAGTGAGTCATGGCCAAGGAGCCTTCTGCTTCAGAGTCAGGTGATCTAAGTTTGAATCCTAGCCCCGCAGCTTACTAACTGCCCACAGACCCCTTTTCTCCTGGACCCTCCATCTATTCATCAGTCAGGATGAAGATCAGCTCAGTATGTACGGGGTATGTGAACGGTGCAGCTCGTTAACTCTGTCATCCTATGGTCATTAGGACTTGGTGATCTGGCGGAGCAAGCCAGGATGGGAGATACCCAGGTGGGTGACAAGCCTGAAGCTAGAGTGCCAAGAGTGAGACTAGAGATCATTTGGGGTATTATCCAGGTACTATCAGCCACACGGCTGCTGTGTGCAAATGCCAGAAAGCCAGGTATGCTTAAGGGAAGAAGAAAACGTTAGCCGGTGTAGCTGACAAGTTCAGAGTTTCATAGCTAGGTGCCTGGGTGTCTCCCTTACAGCCCTTGTTGGTCTGTTTCCCCTGGGATGGCCTCATCCTCAAGCCGGTGTGTGCAAAGGAGCCCCAGGGGCTCAGCAGTTAACAAGCTCCCAGGAAAGAGATGGGACCTCTTGTGCAACACTTCAGGCAAAAGTCTTGGTCCTGCTCGCATCTTGTTCCCATCTTAGAGCCAATCACGGGCATGCGGTTCTGGTTAGTTCAGCCTTCCCCACGTGTGTATCCTTACTGCCAGGAGTTGAGGTTGTGGCGGAGACATCATCTTCACCCTACTGGCCTGGGCTGAGAGCAGGGACTGGCACCTCCAAGGAAAAGGAAGGTGCTGTCCTTCAAGCAAGGGGCTGTAGACTGGGGTAATCACAAACAACGGATGTGCCTTGCGGAGGCAGGGGCTCAAGGACGGTGTGCGTGTAGAATGCTGGCAGTTAGGAGCTGGCGACCATGACTTTGTCCCCAGCAGGCCTCCCCAGTGTGACTCAGCAGTGAGGCTGTAACTTGCACGAGTTTTGCAACCAACCTTTCCCCTCTGTCCTGGCTGAAGCTGAAGCCGTGTTGGTGTTCCCCTGGGACTGGCCCCAGCTCGAATGACCTTGGCCTGGGTCCTCTGCTAGGCCCCAGGCGAGAGTTTCTGGTTTCTTCCATTTTCTTCTATCTCCTCCCTGCAGGGTAAAGTCTGGTAATTACTGAAAGAAAGACCAGCGCTCACTTTGACTTGGGGTACGAGCCCTGGAGCAACGGCCTCTGTGGGGTTTCCCTGTGCTTACCCAGGCTGGGGAGAGACCAGGACAGTCCTAGGGGCTGGGGCTGGGGTGCTGGCACAGTCCCCCAGAGACCCTGGTCGATGGCTTCTGGACAGCAGCATGTCAAGGCAGAGACTTCTTGGGCTTCTAAATAACCCATCAGGTCATGATCAGAAGATAGCTGGGAAGAGCAGAGAGCTTTCCCGAGCACCTACCGAGCTTCTGATATGAGCTGTAGCTAGGACGGAGAGGTGGGTCAAGTTCTGTGCCTGACCGAAATTGCTCTGGAGGAAGTAGTTGGATTCTAGAGTCCTTATATGGGGGCCAGGGAGGTGGTGGAGCACAACGGAAGCAGGGAGGGCACAGCTTGGGACAAATGGGAGGGAGTAGGGGAGCCAGTGACTGAACTGACTTGAGGGAGAAAGAGGTGACTGAGTGAGAAAAGGACATCTCGGCCGAAGCAGCAGGTGTTTGCTTGGGGAGAGCCAAGGGGAACGGGAGGGCTGAGAGGCAGACAGACCCAATGTTTGCAGGTTCCACTTGGGGGACTAGTGAGGCCTAACAGGGCCCTGCTGACTCAGATCCTCTCCTCTGAAACCATTCAACAGACACGCATGCCGCGTGATGGTCTCTGGTGTGGGAGATCATCTCAGCAAAATCTCGGAGCTTCCTGGGAGAGATAAAGGGGAGTCTGGCTTTTTGGGGAAACCACATTCCAACATTTCCTGCATCGTCCCTCCCCACTGGTGTGGAATCAAGCTCCTTTCTCAGAAGGTCGCATAGGAGGCTTGCACTGCAGCGACGGCCAGCTGGAGAAGCACGCAGCTCCTGGATGCTCAGGCTCATGGCGGGGGGAGCCTGTGAGGCAGAAGTCCAGCTATAAAGCCAGCAGGTGCAGAAAGGGGAGGGGCCACTTCAGAAAGTAACCATTTGCTTTCGTAGGCTCTTTTCAAGCCCTGCTAACCACTGAGGGTCGGGGCTCTTTAGCCACAGGTTCCTAATGACATGGCTTTGGCTGGATTCCCAAGTCTGAATTTTCTCAGCGGAAGTGGTGTGAAGCCACGCCTGGATCTACGGTGCTAGGAGACACCACACCCACTCCAGCCTCCTGAGCCCTTCCTCTCCCAGGTGTAAGGGTCTCCTCTCGTCAGATCCCACAGGAGGCTGTTCCATACCTCTCCTGGGCAGGGTCAGACCATGTGCACAAGAATCTTCTGTTTTAAAGCAGGATAGCACACTGTTGGGTGAAATAGGTCTATCTATTTATTTATTTATAAAAGGCAGTTACAGAGAGAGATATCTTCCATTGACTGGTTCACTGTTGGATGAAACCTATCTATCTATCTATCTATCTATCTATCTATCAAC